CCTGGTTGCCGCCACATATGGTTGACACCACCTGAACCAAATAAGTTTATCTTGGTCTCATCGGACCACAGAACATGGTGCCAGAAATCCATGTCCTTAGTCTGCTTGTCTGCAGCAAACCATAGGTGGGCTTTCTTGTACATCATCTGGCTTCCTTCTGGGACAACAGCCCTAGAGACCAATTTGATGTAGTCTTCAGCGTATGGTCTGAGCACTGTCAGGCTGACCCCCACCACACCCCTTCAACCTCTGCAGCAATACTGGCAGCACTCATATGGCTGTTTCCCAAAGCCAACCTCTGGATGTGATGCCGAGCACAGGCACTCAACTTCTTTGGTCGACCATGGTGAAGCCTTTTCTGAGTGGAACCTGTCCTGTTAAACCACTGTATGGTCTTGGCCACTGTGCTGCAGCTCAGTTTCAGGGTTTTGGCAATCTTCTTATAGCCTAGTCCATCTTTATGTAGAGCAACCATTTGGTGTTTTTTTTTCAGATCCTCAGATCTTTCCTTACCACCAGGTACCATGTGGAACTTCCAGTGACCAGTCTGAGAAAGTGAGAGCGGTAACACCTGCTCCACCTTCACACCTAAGACTTGTGACACTAACGGGTCTCATGACACCAGGGAATGAAAACGGCTACTTGAGCCCAATTTGGACATTGTCATTTACGCGTGTACTTACTTTTGTTGCGAGCGGTTTAGACATTTAATGGCTGTGTGTTGCATTATTCTGAGGGGGCAGCAGATTTACACTATTATACAAGCTGTATACGCACTGCTTTACATTATAGCCAAGTGTAATTTTTTTAGTGTTGTCACATGAAAAGATATACTAAAATATTTATGAAATGTGAGGGGGTGTACTCAGTTCTGTGATATACTGCATATTAGACATGCTTATGGCCTATAATGATGTACACAAAAATGTGCTCTGTACATTCCAAAACACAGTAAAACAATGGTTTGTAATTTGATTTGGAAAACAGGTACAACATTTTCTGGTTCAGAATTAGCAGTGACCAGTATCTTATTGCAAACTTCCGCCACCACAAAAACAGTATCATCACCAGTAGCAGATTGCCACTAATTAAAGAGTTCCTTTTTTTCAGTTCCTAGTTGTGTGCAACTCACATACAATGATATGAAGTTCCATGTATATTGAAATAAAGCAATTGTTTAATTAATGACAATCTCCTATTGCACAGGTGGAGCTAAATGACAGGACACTGGGCACTGAGCTAAAGAAGTAGAGCATACTAGGACAAAAAAGGAGAAGCAAGGCTCATTCATATTCTGGAACTATATAGAAACTGACATTTTTAGCAAAAATCAAAAGCAGGAAATAGATAATGACGATCATTTATTTTTAAAACAATACAAATTTTATAGTTAACCTGACCAAAGAATGTGGCATTCAGCTGTATATTGAATAGACATATATTCTCTAGCATAAACATCCTTTAGTATATCAACACTAAGCATTATAACTTATAAACACAGGTATAATTAATGAGCTTATTGAGCACAGTTAACACACAGTATCTCATAATTAAACCACATCAAGAAGTCATTAAAAATGGTTCACATGTAATCCTTCATCTGTCGTCCAAATTCACACAATAGAGAAGATAATCAACAACATTCAACACTTTTGAAAGGCTATTTTAAAAGACTATTGAAAACAATAACTTTCAATTTCAGTTGGTGTGGCCTGAGGATGTAGACAAGGCACTTGCACCCTGCAAATCCACCACTTCTTCTCTTGATCCTTGCCTTTCATGGCTCCTAAAATCAGCTAGGGAGACAACTACAGAATGGGTTACACCTTTTCATCAATACATCTCTTTAGGAGTGATATGTACATCACTTCCTAAAGGAGATCAGAAACCAATCTTAGCATTGGACAACTTTAATACTTAGAAGCTAACTGCTAATATACCATTGTTGCACTAGTTGATTCAGAGGGTGGCAGCAGACCAAGAGCAGGTGTTCTTGGAGGACACAGATCATCTAGATGCATTTCAATTGGGATTTAGGCCATGTTGTGGAACCAAAACAGCATTGGTCACCCTGCATGATCTCCTGAGGGAGGTGGATGTTGGGAGTGTAATCGTGGTGGTCTGCTTAGACCTCCCTGCAGCCTTTGATATTTTCAACTGTACTATCCTTCTGATTTTGCTCTTGAGTTTGGAACTTCCTTAGGAAGGCGATTCCACTTCAGGTATATATCCTGCTTATCTGGTCTTGCAACCACTCTAGGTGGCTTGGAATCTGGTCTTGCAACCACTCTAGGTGGCTTGGGAATCATTTGGAGATTGTTGTCATCAATATGCGGATGACAAATAGCTCTCGCTCTCTCTCCTTTTCTTGATCTGCAGGTGATGCACTGCAGGTCCTGGAACACGGTCTGGCTGTGATAATGGAATGGACAATGGAAAACAAACGGAAGCTGAATCCATGTAAGACGGAGATCCTGTGGTTGGGAGGCTCACCTGACTGGTTAAAGGGATATTCACCTGGCCTTTATGGGATTACCTGAAGGATCAGGTTCCCAGTTTGGGTGTATTCCTGGACCTAACCCTTTCTATGGAAGTGCAAATATCTGCTTTGGCTAAGAGCTTTTTCTCAACTTTGGTTGATTGTCCAGCTGCATCCCTAACTGGAGAGGAAATACCTAGCAACAGTGGTTCATGCTTTGGTAAACTCCAAAATAGACTACTATAATGCTCTCTATGTAGAGTCACCGTTGAAGCTAGTATGGAAACTACAGCAGGTCCAAAAAGTTGTAGCCAGACTGACTGCAGGTAACAACAGACACGTATCTCCAGTTCTGGCACATCTCCGCTGTCTTTTCCTTTTTACTTCCATGCTCAATTCAAGCTGCTGCTTATTACCTATAAAGCTCTAAATAGTTTAGAATCCCAATACTGTATCTGTTCAACCATCTCTTCTACAAAACAGCTACCCATCTGATCAACTTCTCATAGTCATTATTAAAAACTGCAGTTTTGGCCCCATAACTTTAGAATAATTTATCAATTCACCATGCACCTTCCCTCCCAGCTTTTAAGAAGCTACTTCAAACAGAATTGCTTAAAACTGCCTTTTATTAATATGTACCATTTCCTGTCATTTTATGATTTAAGTTTATTTACTTATGCCAGATTTGGTGAGTTACCGTATTTTCCCATGTATAAAATGACACTTTTTCCTTAAATAATTTGAGAAAAAATCGAGGGTCGTTTTATACACGGAAGGCAGAGCTTTACCGCTGCCTTTTGCGAAGGTGCAGGGCTTGGCAAAAAGGAAGGGAAGTCGTTGCTTTCTTCCTTTTTGCTAAGCTCCATGCCTTCTCAATTAATTCCTCCTTTTTGAAGACAAGATATGGTTCTCTGATTCTATAAGCTATGCTTTCTTTTATTTTCCATACATTTTTTCCATCATTAATTATGGCTTTAAGCCAACTTTAATTATGGCTTTAAGCCGAAATAATATATAAATTGGCTCTTTGAAATGCATCTG